TTTAAGATCAGGTTTGCAAATGGCAATTCTTATTCCTGCTTTTCCGATCTGGTTTTTGCTTGTTTCCGTATTGTACTGTCTGGACCCTTGATAGTTGGTGTAATTGTCACCGAGCTTGATGAACCTAGTTTGATCCACAGACTCACATGGTGGAAAGAGAAAACTGATTCCCACAAGTTGTCTTCTGACCTCCACATGTGCATCCATGGTGTGTGTGCCTGCATGCATTAACACACACATGAAAGAAGGCAGCAGTGGGAGAGTTACAAAGATAATACATGTAGAAAACAAAACACAAAGCAGAAGTAAGACCTTCTCAGGAATGAAAGACAAACTCCAATTAGAAAGCAAAATGCTGGGTGGGATGATGTACACCTATAATCCCAGCACTCATGAGACAGGCGGGAAGATCTCTGTGAGTTTGAGGCCAGCCTGATCTACATAGGTCTACATAGCTACAAGGGACCCTGTCTCAAAACAAGCAAGAGGTTGGTAGAATGGATCAAAACAAAACATAATTCATCCCTGTTATTTATAGAGACTCCCTTGAGATACACAAATAATCAAAAAATATGTTTCTTGTAAGTTGTAAACAAGAAAGATCTGGGATGGCTAGCCTACTATGAGACAAAAGTAGGTTTTAAAATAGAAATCTGTCACTGGGTGTGGTAGCGCACACCTTTAATCTCAGCACTCGGGAGGCAGAGGCAGGCGGATCTCTGTGAGTTCAAGGCCAGCCTGGCCTACATAGTGAGTTCCAGGACAGCTGGGGCTACAGGGAGACCCTGTCTCAAAAAAAAAAAAAAAGAAGACCAAAACAAAAATATTAAAACTTTAGGGGCTGGAGAGATGGCTCAGGCAGTTAAGGGCACTGGCTGCTCTTACAAAGGACTGGGGTTTGGTTCCCATGGTGGCTAACAACCATTTGTAACTCCAGTTCCAGAGGATCTGATGCCCTCTCCTGACCTCTTCAGGAATCACACAACATGAATACGTTTACATACATGCAGGCAATACACTCATACACGTGTTGGGCTGCTTAGAACCAGCTGTAATTCCAACCCCAAGGGATCTCTTTTGGTCTTTGCAGCCACCCATCCTCCATCCCTCCCCAATGAAAATAAAATAAATCTTTTTAAATTTTTTTTAAAATTCAGGCTGGGATACTCCCAGTGCTTACTTAGCATGTGTGAGGCCCTGGGTTCCATCCCTGGCACAACAACCAACAAATCAATGGTCAATGTGAAATCCTGAGGTGTGATTAGGGCACAGGCTTCATTCCTAGGTTCACATCGATAAGGAAAATGCTCAAAGCTGTCTTATTTCTATGCTGGGAATTGAACATAGGCTCACACATGGTAGGTAAGTGCTCTACCACGGAGTTGTATCTCCAGCCCACTGACCATCTCCCTGATTCCTTATTATTTAAGCCAGTTTTGTATGTAGTTAAATCTAATTGTGGCTTTTCATTGTCTTGCTGATAATAGTGCATATCTTTTCCATTTTTTTCCCTTTTGAGACAGTGTCTCATGTAGCCAAGGCTGTGCTTGATCTTCGCACATTCTACCTCCACCTCACAGTGAGGGGTGACAGGCCTGCACAGCCTCACCTAGGTGTGCTGCAGCTTTTCATGTGCTTATTTGTCATTTGCCTACCTACTTTCACACACATCCCTTTTTTTAGACACAGAAAGTCTCACCGTGTAGCCTGGCTGGCCTGGATCTTGCTATGTAGACCAAGCTGGCCTGTAACTCACTATGTAGACCAGGCTGGCTTTGAACTCACAGAGATCCACCTGCTTCTGCCTCCCGAGTGCTAGGATCATAGGTGTGCATGACCATGAACTGCTTTTACAACCATTTTTAATTCAGTTTCCTCCTGAGTTTTTAGAGTTTATGTTGTATAAAGAAAAGTTTTTCTTTTTACTTATTATCTTTTTTTAAAATGTGTATGAGTGTATTGCCTGTATGTAGGGGTAACCCATGTGGCGGTCATAAGAGGGTGTTGTACCCCTAGAACTGAAGTTATGGGCAGTTGTTAACTGCCATGTGGGTATTGGTAACTGTGCTGGATATCTTTAGTGTCAACTTGACACACCTGGGTTGAGGGAGCCTCAATCGGGGAATTTCCTCTATTGGACTGGCCTGTGGCCATGTCTGAGGGGCATCTTCTTGATGAGTGATGTGGGAGGGCCCAGCCCACTGTGGGTGGTGCCACCCCTGGGCAGGTGGGCCTGTGTTGCATAAGAAAGCAGGCTGAGCAGGGGCCAGGGGAGCAAGCCAGTAAGCAGCATTCCTCTATGGCCTGTGCTCCAGCTCCTGCTTCCACGTTCCTGCCCTGAGTTCCTACCTTGGGCTCCCTGATGAACTGCGACCTGGGAGATGTAAGACAAATAAACCCTTTCCTCCCCAAGTTGGTATTGGTCAGAGTGTTTTGTCACAGCAATGAAGAACAAACTAGAACAGTGACCAAACCTGGGTCTTCTGCCAAGAGCAGCCAGTGCTCTTAACTGCTGAGCCATCATCTCTCCAGCCCCTTATCATTTTTATTTTGTGTGTATGAATGCTTTGCCTGCATGTATGTAAATGCACCTGTGTACTGTAATGCTCACAGAGGCCAGAAGAGGGCATCAGGTCCACTGGAACTGGAGTTATAGGTGGTTGTTAGGCACATGTGGGTTGGGTTCTGGTTACCGAACTCCAGTTCTCTGCAAGAGCAGCCAGTGCTCTTAACCCTTGAGCCATTTCCCCAGCTCTTTTCTTTTTAAATTCTTTTCTTTTTCTTTGTGGTTTTTGTTGTTGTTTGTTTGCTTTTGGTTTTTTTTTTTTTCTTCTTTTTTCGGTCTTTTTGAGACAGGGTCTCCCTGTAGTCCCTGGTCTCACTATGTAGACCAGGCTGTCCTGAAACACAGATTCTCCTGCCTCTGCCCCCAAGTGCTGGGATTAAAGGTGTGCACCACTATGCCTGGCCCTTTTTCTTTAAATATTTTATTATTTTTATTTTATATATATGACTGTAATGTCTACAAGTAGGCAGGTGCACCCCTGTCATATGATACCCACAGAAGTCAGAAGAGGGCATCAGATTCCCTAGAACTGGAATTATAGACAGTTGTCAGCCATCATGTGGGTGCTGAGAATCAAACCCAGGTTCTCTACAAGAGCTTTTACTGAGGCATCTCTCCAGCTCTAAATTTTCTTTTTCATTCATCAGTTTCATATACGTTGAGCTGAGTGGCTTTGGTTGTCAACTTGACACACCTGGGGAGAGGGAACCTCAGCTGGGAGAATTTCCTCCATTGGATTGGCCTGTGGCCATGTCTGTGGAGCATTTTCTTGATTGTTGAGTGATGTGGGAGGACTGTGACCCCTGGCAGGTTATATAAGAAAAAGATAACAGGCTGAGCACAGGCCAGGGGAGCAAGCCAGTACGCAGCATTTCTCCATGGTCTCTGCTCCAGGTTCCTTCCCTGAGTTCCTATCTCGGCTTCCCTTAATGATGGACTGTGAGCTGTAAGCCAAATGGACCCTTTCCTCCTAAAGCTGATTTTGGCCAGTGTTGTTTGAGAGAGGGTCTCCCTGTAGTCCCAGCTGGGCTGGCCTGGAGCTACCTTCTGAATGCTAGGATTAAAGGTGTGAGCTACCACGGCCAGCTTGGTCAGCGTTTTTGATCACAGCAATAGAAGAGCTAAATTGTGGAACCCACCTAGGTGTCCACCCACAGAGAATGAACAAAAAATGTTGTCTGCATACGCAGTGGAATTTTGTTTCTTTAGCCATAAAGAAAGTGAAGTTGTGCCATTTGTAGGACAACAGATGCAACGAGAGACAATCATCTTAAGGGAACTCCATCAGTCTCAGAAAGACAAACATTGTATGTTTTCTCGTGTGGTTTCTAGTTTTTATGAGTTACCAGAATCATGTATGTTATGTGCATGAATGTAGTAGGAAATTGTCTGGGGGAACTGAGGGAGCTGATGGAGGGGAGGGGCGACGGAAAGGAGGGAGCCTTTGAACTATGTGGCTAGGGATTTTTTTTTTGTTTTTTTTGGTCTTTTTGAGACAGGGTCTCCCTGTAGCCCCAGCTGTCCTGGAACTCACTATGTAGACCAGGCTGGCCTTGAACTCAGAGATCCACCTGCCTCTGCTTCCCAACTGTTGGGAGTAAAGGCATGTGCCACCACATCCAACAGGATAGTCTTTTTAAAATATTTTATTTATTATTATTATTTTTTTTAAGTTTAAAAACCATTTTAATTTT